GTGGCCCAATACTTCCCCTGTCCCAAACCCTTCTCAATCCCTAAATCTCCTAATCCGTGATCCCCAAAAGGTCGGCAACGCACTCGTGACTCCACTGTTGCTGCCCATGTCCATGGGCGGCGCTGATTGCTTACGATAAGGTAATCCGTCTGCTCCTTTGCTGTCCTATCACATACAAAAGAAAAGAAATATGAATATAATACCTATGAAATACGATTCACTCCAATTTGTTGACTAACTAAAATGAATTAATGAACTGACTTGAATCATTTTCTTTTAAAAATCTTGCCAGTAACATCATTAAGAGAGTCATCATTATCAAGATGTCGTTTACAATTAAGAGTCTTTAGTTTCATATCTTTTCCGTACAGATTAGTTCTGTGCGAGGATATTTGAAAATACTACATTGCTTTACCACCTTTGAAAATTTTTATTACGCCCTCTGTCTAAGATGTATGGAACTAATTCGAGCTCGACATTTTAGTTTTTGACCGCCGCCCGCTGCGTGCTGTTCCAGTTGCTTTCGTAGTTCTTATACTCCCTAATAGATGGCGTTAGTTATCGGACTTTAAAACAATAGGTATTTCGTTACTTAGTTTATCTTTGAGACATTTTATTGTTATTATGATATTTATTAATTCGAATAAAATCGTATTATTATGTATACCTACAACAAATTCAATTTACCGAAGGCCTAATCCTTCCGCTCCTTCCTTTCCAATTTTTTACCATCAGGTAATTACATCTGATATTTGCCTCCCTATGAAAGATAAAAAGGCCCCTAATTTTGCTGTAGTGTTTGTGCACACGTTATTAATATTTTTTGAGTAAAGCTATTTTTACTTTAACGCCATCTATCGTCGAAACGTCCCGCGTTTAGCCATCTGATTGCTTCTCGAACTTATAGGCCCGGGACAACTTCGTGTTAACGAAAAGCAAACTCACACTAGGCGCTAATGATGAGAATGACAGTATTATTGGTACTAAGTTCGAGGGAAACTGAAGTTTCCTTTATTTATCTCTAGGACTTCTAGAGATATCGTGAAAAGATTAGCCAGATGTGTTTTCAGAAAAGCCCTTAAAACTTTTTACGACCCAGGATTTGAAGTCGAGATCCTCTGCTGACAGGGAGCTGTTACAATTCTTAAGTGTCCGTTAATCGCTAAATAATATATTGAATTATAGCTTCGAGCTTATTAAAATAGGAATGTCTCCTGGGTTAAAACAACAATGCTAATTAATCCGTCAGTTAGATTATAGAAAAATACTCGATACGTATTTTTCTATTTGTCCATACGAATAATATTGACAAAGATACAGCACATTCAAATTGAGGAGTAGGGACTCGTGACGTCACTCTTTCGTAAAAATTTTACGAAATAATGACATAGCGCGAACTTTTGCCGCCCTGTAACTTTGTTATATTAAGTTTTAGAAGCAAAAAAAAAAATCCGTATCCAATATTTTCTAGCGTTCTAAAAGTTGACGTCATTATAGTTAATCCATAATTAAAATCCATGAGTGCACAAATATTCAACTTTTTATATTTTGATTAACGATGATTGTAGGTACCTACCTAATTATAAATAAAAATTCACATATCAGTGGCATGAAAAATTTATTTGATTTTCTTTTAATTACATTATGTATTACGATATGCTAAAATAAATACAGAAATTGTTCGGATAACTTCATCTTATTTATAATTATGTTCATTTAAATAATTATTAATAATAATTATAATTAATTCAATAATACATGGTTAAGCTTCTAAACCTAGTTATTTATTTACAATTTAATTAATTAATAAATTAGAGTAAAATTATGGTGATTTATTTATTTTAATGGAAAAAATGTTGGCTGAACACACATTTTATTTTATTTATTGCCATCCTGACAATATTTTGGTCGAATATTGGCATTCGAAATAATTATTTATAATCGAATTTATGCAAAAATGTCTAAATTTATGTTTAAATTTCGTGTGGTTGAATTTAAATTTCTAATTTACATGATATTAGTATTTTGAAAACCTGGGAAATATGACTGTTTTTTTTGCCACACATTAACAATACTTAGAACATATGTTGCAATAATTAATTTATCAAATGTTTTTAATTGTCCTGTTTATAATAATGAGCAATTATTGACAGACTTATTACGACTGTCTAATAAATTATAATAATTATAAATGTGACCTGCATGTTACTTAAATTATCGTGACTTGATTTACATTATAAAATAATTTATCGTAATCATAAATTCAGTTGTCAATTTAAAAATATTAATGCAATATCATTTTTTTTATTAAACGATGTAAGATATTATAATAAATAATTTTATGTTTTTCCAAAATGTTGATATGTAATCATAAATGTTTGCGCATAAAATGTGATTTAAAATTTATTTTTTACTTAATAATTAAGATATTGGAAATGAACGTCACACAATGGAAGATTAAATCGATTAGAGACTCGATACATTACAAAACCTAAAGTCGTACGACCCGTATCGATAAAACTATTTTTTATTTATTATACAATAAGAAGACGAAATATTTTTCATGATTGTCACTTTGTGGGTGACATTGGATTGATAATTATATTATATAAATAAACCCTTTAAGATAATAAAACTATCTATATCTGCGCATCATTTTGTTCTTGACACTTTGAAACACTTTGAAATATGAAAAAAAGTTGTATTGAAATATTAGATCAGCGACAATCAAAATTATACTTTATTCGAATTATTATTTGTATCCATATAATCCAATGTTACCCACAAAGACATATCAATAATTTAAGCTATCTTAAATTCTATGTCGACGGCGGAAGAGTCATTTGAACGCTAGGTCACCGTAGCCGTACCAACGTCGGTCACTGTAGCACAATGGAACAAATAATTAAATAAATATTGACTGAAATTCTGGAGCCTTAACAAACAAATCGTTTTTATATTTAAAAAAAAATCTGCTAAAGCTAGTATCTCAGATAGTATCTGATTTACATCCAAGTAAGCAAGGCTTTTAAAAGAATTTTAATATATGGAAAATATATAGGTAATAATGCAGACTGCAAATAGTGATAGCGTAGAGACTGCCTACTCAGTAACAGTTAATGATTACTTAAACTATTCTGAAGTAACGATTAACTTAACAGTCTTTAGCAATTGTAATTGTTTATAATACAATTGCCAAAGACTGGGAAGTAATCTTGAGAATCTGAGATGTAAGCGACTTAACAGATTTATGTTTAGTCATATTCACATCAATACAAAAATAAATTTCACATAAATTGAAAAAATATATAGATTAGTTGACAAGGACAATAAAAAGATTAAGAAAGACAACGAAATTATAAATGTATAGTTCTGAGTGAACAGGACTAAATAACACCAATAAGGTTTTCATTCTCTCAGTTCTGATATTATAGCTTTAGTCATATTTTGATTCGTAAAATATTTTAAAAGCCACCAACATTTCAGTGCTTACATTTGTAAATCGTAAAACAAAAGTAATGGTGGAAGGCACGGCAAGTGTAGGTATTTACAAAGGGCTACGTGACGTTGATTCGGCGGTGCATACAGTCGACCATACAAGTAAAGTGCATAAGCAAGACCAAACAACTAATGTTGAACACAATTTCAATGAGGACTAGTATTTTAATACTCATTTGTACCAACCCTACCAAAATATTGACCAATGGTTTGAAACTAGGAAATGCTCAAATGAACAAACAGAATATCATAGTCCTTCAGAGCAAATTGATGTAAATGACAACGAGAGCCCTCATTAAAAAACCAATAATAAAATTGAAGATAATCGTCTGATTAATATTATTGATAAAGAAATTAAAGTTCAATGGACAAATGAATTGCATTCAACAAGAGCTGACAAATATGTGTGTAGTAGGTACAGATAGAAATTGTAGTCATATCGATAACTTCTATACAGTATTTGCTTTTTTGAATGTTCATTTTTGTTTCAATAGAAAATCTTATGTGAACCAGCCAAACTATATTGATATTAGTGCTCGATTGGAATCTTAGGGAGATGAATGGAAATTTATACGAAAGTAACATCAATGCATATAATATTTTTACAGAAAGTACTAAGGATAAAGTATTTAGTGGTCATAGAAATAGTATTTAAAGTGTTCAAAAAGTATGTCAATAAAATGGATCGACTGCATCATAAGACAAAGTGATATGTGATCGTTGCGTGCTAATTATAATGATATGTACTGCAAAGACATTCGCTTTAGATAAACAGCAAAATCTTAATAAAAATAATATGTACCTTGTTTATACAAGACTTGCTGCGTAACTTAAAGTACTGTGAAGTGCCTGTAATGATAGGAACACAAATTTTAGTCACAATTAACATAATGTAGATGAAATTGACTTCGAGCCAGAAAGCTATAATCCTGATAATAACAAACGTAGCGTCATTTTTAACTTAATGTGGGGAGATTCACTAGGACATATTTATTTTAGAATATAAAAGTAAACTCTTATAAACAAGGCATTGTAAGCCAAAGTAAAGACACAATACACAATCACTTTCACAAAACTATGAATCATTCGCTTCAGTTAGATCTAAGAAGCTAACATTTATAAAAACCCTCACTCAAAGCAAGCTATGTAATAAAAATGTAAAAAAAAAATATTTACAAAGCATTTAAACCTATCATGTGTAACATTGCGTCGCGTGATTCGTACAATTTATTCTACAAAACGACTATCTTTTAATATATTTGGATAAAATTCTCGAATTATAAATATACATCAAGACGTATCAGATATTGATACTGGAAGGACCCTGTTTAAGTCGAGAAGACCTAAAGACCGACTCGGTCTCACCACTGAGCGAGGTATAAGAAAATAAAAGCTTGGTAACAAAGATTGCGATATTTTTTCTAAGTATTTTATCGATCATTCACAAGGGCATTCAAAGAATTATACGAATTTTGTGGAAGTCAAAAAATACTAGATTAAATTCATTGAGTGGCTTCAGCAGTATGATAATGTGATGGATGGTAGCGCCAAACCTGTGGAGGCGAGTACTCGACTGGAACTTCTTGAGCTGCTCCTCCAGCGCCCCACATGAGTACTGTTTGCCGTGGCATCTCCGAGGCCTGTGGCTGCTGCATCCTCTCCTGCTCCGAGTTACTCGACCCTGCAGGACTTGGTCCGGGCACAACAGAAGGCGACCTTCTCTCCTGTCCAGTTACAGGACTCATATATCTTCCACTGCTGTCCACATACGTGTATTCTCTCGAAGGTGGTCGATGATACGCAGGTGCCACTTCGTAACCAGGTGGAGGCGCAGGTTCAAGGAAGCCATTCGGCGCATAGGGAGTATAATGATAAGATAAAGGTTTATATTGATGGAAGAGGTTATCTGCTGTTAAGAATCTGTCGTCTAAAGGTGGCGGAGCGTAATGTAATGTCGGCGCTGGAGGATATTCTCCGTAAGGAGCTGTGTAAGCGCCATTTAAATTAGTGTATGCTGCTGCTACTGCGTCCGCCGCTAAATAGTCGACAGGAGGCGGTGCAGGAGTTGTTGGAACTCTTCTCTTGTTCCTACAAGTTGATAGAAAATCTCGAAGCTGTGTTTTGTATCTCCTTGCAGTTCTTGGAGGAGTTGTAACGTTGGTTTCGCAGCCAGACAACTGTTCGGTCTCCGAGAAGTAGAGGCTAGTGAGACCGGTGTCGAGGTAGCTGACTTTGAAATCCATAGTTCGTTTACCTAATAGATCTCTGCCTTCTTCCTCCCTGAAAGTAATAAAACAACAATAAGATTCAGTTTTAATCTAGCTGTTTTTATTAATATTAGTAATATAACCAATGACATAGACTATTATATTCTTTTGAACCTTGATATGTAACTAAAAGATGAACGCAATATAAAAAATAATAGTTATACAAAAAAGTTTTCTTTCCAATTCATCAATGAGAACTTACTATAAAAGTTAAAGGACTTACATTAACGGTCGATGCGTACTAATAACGAAATCTGGTTTAGAATTCTTGTAGACTAGTCTGGAAGAGGTCTGCAGCCATTGCCACTGACCATCCTTTGTTTGGAAGCGGTAAGCGATCATTCCGGAAGCACCTGTTTTTAATACTGCAACGAAAATAAAATGGTGACGATGTATAAAAATATTTTACTAGCAGCTGTATTACTTATATTAATATTTATTGCTTAGTTGGCATGTTAAAATGGATGGTGCAAAAATAATTGCGCTGACAAATATTATTATTTATTCATTAAAATGTTAAAAAAGGCAGGATGTTACTTACATTCTTGATGAGCGCTGGCGACATAAGCTAGATCGTCGTAGTGTACTAGATCGTAGCCTCCCATGTTGGCCAGCTCAGCATCTGTATAACCTAGCAGCATTTTACCCCTGGAACGTTGAAAAACAAAAATTAACTTATTGACTTGATCAGTCCGAGATCAATTAAATGTGTAAAGTCTTTGGCAAATTTCGTTTCAAACATTTTATTGCCAAATACAAAGCAATACTTCAACTATGTTATATTACGTTGTGTTTCGCGGTATGACTAAGCTTACCGGAGGTTGAAGGCCTAATCCTTCAACCTCTCCCATCCTCAATCCTAAAATCTTCTATCCTTGAATTACTAATAAGGCACTTGTTTGTTGTACCTCCATTAGACATACAAGTTTCCATAGCTGGCGCCGATTACTTACCATCAGGCTGATCGTTGACCATGCCTATGCCATAAAAAAATCGAAAGAATTAGGTTCTTAGAAAAATAGCAATTGGTTTTATGGGAACTGTTTCACTAAGTCTTACTTCTTTGTGAGAATATAAATATAAAACTCATGGACATGACATTATGAACACGTTTCCAGGATGGAATTCAAAGCTCACGATTTAGTTAACCTCAAAACTATGGCTATTGTTGTCTAAAAATCACCTTTTTGTTGTAAACCTTGTGGCATTCCCATTAATTAAGCCGTCCGCTATTCTAGTGTCAATTATCAATTTAATATGGTTTGTATATTCCTCAACAATGGTGATCTTTTATTGTTGCTGTTTTTGCTAAAAAATATTTGTACGTTTCCTATGTTTATGGTCAACTTTTCAAATAGGTATTAACTTTAAATTGTGTATTGTTTGTCATCTTAAAGTAGTTATTATATTAAGATAGTTGTTTTTATTGATGTATTGTTGAGCGAAAATTAAATCTTAAAAAAGTTGACATTATCTAGTTCTTTTTACATTTAGAATCCCTAAAATAATTTTGTTACTTGAAAAGTATGCACCGAAACCACAATTTTTTATTTATGGAATAGTAGGCAAACGATCAGACGGATCAACTGATGGTAAGCGATCGGCGCCGCCCATGTACATTCACGTGAACATTCGCTACTATATGATATGAGTGCGTCGCTTGCTTATGAAAGGCAATTTATTCAACAGATTTTTTGTGCGAGGCAGAAAGTTTAATAGTCTAAGGTAGAGGTCAAAGTGATTTATTAATTCAATTAAGCTACATAGAAGCACTTTTAAAATGTCACAATAACATTGTCAGTCAGTCAGTCTGTCCTTCCGTGAAACCAGATGCAGTTTTCCTTACCGTTGATCCATAGAGACTAGAGACAGGTCCAGCTTGTGTTTGCTCTTGAACATGACTTCCTTCTGAGGGATCTCTAGGAGTGACGGAGGACCGAAGGGCGCACATATTGCGAACAAAGCTAAAGGAGGTTCTTCTGTTTTCTTATTCTGCCCGTGAAGCACTTTGATCCGGCCTCGGATGTCAAGCCTCTGTAAGTAAAATGGTGTTGAAAGATACATATTTTCATTGTCTTTATTCTAATAACAATAAGATTCATTGTTGGGCACACAGATACATAGAAAAAATGATGTCATTTTTGCAACCAATGATATTCTAAGAAATAATATTTACTAAAATATCATTGTTTGCAACGGAAAATTTATTAATAAAAATTATTTGTTAAGTAAAGACATTTACCATATTTAATGAATCTAGAGACTGTAGCTATTTTAAACATAGTAACATTATTCACACTATTATTCTTGAAGGGACTAACGCAGCTTTTGTAATTTATATTTTCATTAGATTAGTTGTATTTTCCATTAAAATATAAAACGCACGGATTATTTAACATCTCGTCATTTAGAGAGAATTCCCTAGCATTGTGTATTGTAAGGATACATGTGTTACACTTAAATTAGATTAATAAATAATCATACAAACTTACCAAGAACCCAGAAGTATTGTCAAGTAAACATCTAAATCTGACGGTGAAGCTCCTTTCTAATAGATGCGCCCTGTCCGGCCTCAAAACATCCTGTAGCGTGAGGTTGCTGACCTCCGGAGGGAGGAAAGAGTTCCACAAGATCTGCCGCTGCAACTCCTCCCGGTCTTCAGAGTGGACGAGCTCGTAAACTGACTGGTGGACTATGTCCGACTGAAAAATAAATATGAAGATATTTTTGAAGTCAATAAAGATTAGTAAGAAAAATAACAAAACTTTCACCCGACACCCAGGTAAAAATTCATTTTACTTCTAATACATACACAAGTTCACAACAATTTCAACGAATCATCAAACCCAATTTTTCTATTCTAATGCTACCCCAATAAGATTTAATAAACCAAAAGATAACAAGATAATTAGTTAACAAATATAATCAATTCAGCAAAAAAGAGCAAGTCACAATCAAACCGTAAATCAATAAACCACAGCAAGCCAGCCCTAGAAATCGATTCAAGGCTCAATAATTAAAGAATCATCTATAACGAAGATGGACGTGTTAATTCCGGATGTAAGACAAGCTAATGACTACCTTAACTACTTATAAATATGTTCGATTATTGTTTGAATGCTGATCTAATTCATTTTACCACCCATCACACAACAAAAGACCGTGTAAATAGTGTAGATAATGCAACAGCATATGATGCTAGTACAAAACTAATTGATAATCAATGGGGTTGCCCAAGGCACGAACTTGGGTCCCCTCTAAATATATAAATGAATTTGTAAAATATGTATAGGGCTGGTATGAGTAACAACATATTGCGTTGGCATTAAACGTCAAAAGATGATTTGTTGGGTAATTGCTTTTGTTCTCATTGGGTTGGGGGGTTGCTATGGTACGGAATCATGTTTTGTTGATACACCTTTGTTTTGGCAATTTTTCGTTGTATTTGTATTGATGGATGATATCATTTTCTATTTAAAGCTCCATTTTTGTTGTGAAATATATTGCCATAATTTGTCTCTATATTTTAATGGGGTAGATAAAAGTTTTGATTAACTTTGATTTAGTTTTGGGGTAGAATTTTATCTTGATGAAGGATTTTATTGAATTATTATTTTTTATGGGAAATAAAAGTCGTAACAATAATAAAATTCGGTGGATTTACGAGTCGCATAAACTGTTTAAAGGTCTTTTAATAAACTACTAAAAGTAGCAATTGAATTTTCAATTGCTAAGGTTTTAGTTACGTACAAAAGATTTTAACAAAATTTACTTTTAACTCGGTATATTTTGTTGTAAAAAATATGTTCAAACAAAATATGACTCAATTTAAAGAAGCAAAAATAAAACAAATATTTGAAACGGAAGGAATTTGTAATGGTAGATAGAATGAAAATGATCTTGGTGGCAGTCGGAGCCATTTACGACGAAGCGCAGCGCAGACCATTAACGATCGATACTGCTCGACACCCACCTGGCGCGGATTGAAGATAATGTTGCCATTCAGGGCACCCCTCGAACCCAGATGCATTTGAACTTTAATGTTCAGTGGCTATTGTATTTGAAAGGTGGTCTTTAAAAATGTGGATTTCAAATTGGTCTTTATAATTTTGTTTAGGGTTTAATAGTGTATTGAAATATTTTGTTAGTACTTAGTTGTGAGTTTGTTAATAGGAAACATATAACCATTTTTAAGACTTCATAATTATTAATATTACGTAGATCTTACATCTTAATATTACGTTTTATCAATAACTAGCCACTCTCGAGCGATATCACCCGCTGCTCGGCCCCATTTAATCGTATCTTATATATCGTAATGTTTTATAGGCTATAGCACTCAGGAACATTTTAGCTATCTATCAGTGAAAAAATTTTGCAAATCCGACCAACGGTTCCAAAGATTACCCCCTACATACAAACTTACAAACATTTCAATTTTACCTCTTTATAATATTAGTATCGATTGATTTGAATTCAGAAATAAATCAGTCAATAAAATAACATTTATTTTAATTTAACGTTTGACATTTTTATTAAGTCTTTGTACATATTATGTACTTTTGAAGATACATGTGAACATTATATAACTAGGCAGTATGATATTTCCTAATGTATAGTAAATATTCTAAGCGATATTTTATCTGTCCAAAAATATCACCTTACTTTTCTTTAAAACCTACTGTACCTAATGCTTATCTGCATGACCCTTACGGTTGACTGGTAGAGAATTCAATTCAGCATTAAGTCTGCCTTTGTAAGTGTGTTAAAATATATAAATATATAAGTGTGGGAGAACCATGCTTCGGCACGAATGGGTCGGCTCGACCGGAGTGATACCAAAACAACCACAGCGTTGTGTTTCACTGTGTGAGTGAGGTTACCGGAGGCCCAATCCTTCCCCTACCCCAATCCCTCCTCATTCCCTAAATCTCCAAATCCCTAATCCCTAAAAGGTCGGCAACGCACTCGTAACTCCTCCGTTGCGAGTGTCCATGGGCGGCGCTGATTGCTTACCATCAGGTAATCCGTCTGCTCGTTTGCCGTTCTATTACATAAAACAAACAAATAAATGAACTTAATTACATTATAAAATCCTTACTTTTATCATTACCCACAATAGCTTCTCTGCCACCAATACATATTTACATTAGCAATCTTTACTGCGTATAATCGCCCTTATTGAAGCGTGGCTTGGTTAGGCACGTGCCACGCACTACGCCAGGAAGTGGCAAGTACCCGGACCGATTTAATGATTTATAAATCGATTTGTTTTAATCGCAACCCACCCTTACCTACGCACTTTGATGGGCAAAGATTAAGTTATTATAGAATAGAAACTATTACATAAGTTGGTTTGAATGTAAGTGGTGCTAATATTTGTGTCTGGTTGAACGATAGTGATACAGTTATTATGTTCTATGTTTGTTTTGTCCATTTTAAAACTTTTGATTACAAAAAAAATACTAATATGAAGGGATCAGAAATATATTTTTGGAAACTGCCATATTGAAGCTGAGCTGAGAGAGAGTTGAGGCGAGTGAAAATTGAAATACGAAATTGAACCTCTTATGAAAATTTTGTAATAATTACAGTGAACGCTTGCTTCAAAACCATAAGGTTAAATTTGTAGTTACTTTGACATCAGAATAAGGTAAATAATCGAAAACCTCAACAACTTAATCCATTGCTATAATTGTGTCTGTTCTATAAAAATAATCTTTGGCCCCCTAAAGTACCTACAGGTAACCGAATTACTCGCTGGCTTTGAGCATAAACAAAACAAAGAGAAAAGGGGGGGGAGAGGAGGGGTGTTGAACGTAAAATTTATACGCATACGATCACTGCCAACTGAAAGTTTTATAGCGGGGGTTGGAAGGGGTCGAGACCCGGGGTTTTTACATTCTTATAGCAATATTTCATCGGAGACTTTATTAGCTGTAATGCGGAGGGCATTTTGTTAACGAGCAATTTTAATATGCGACGCAGTTTTTTTTTTGTTTTCGATGTTTTTTTTTAATTCCGTGAATAGGTACTAATGTTAATTTTTGTGGGCCGTCGTCTTATGATATTATTAGGATATGAACTTGATTTATTTTTTTTGTAAACCGATGTTTGCTTGAGTTATTGCCTTTGGAGTATTTTTAGGAAGTTATTATGGCTATAGATTTGAACGTTTTATTGTTGTTTCGATGTAGTTTTTATTGTTCGAAATATTATATCGTGTAGGTAGATACGTGCAAGCTGTCATGAATTTTCAACTCAAACAATAGGAAATACAGTATAATTTTATCTACAATTCTTATTTGCGAAGGCCAGTAAAATTTACATGATTAAATGGTAAAAGACACATAATTATTATTATAGAAGACCGTGTACCAAGTTTAAGTTTTAAAGGCATTTAAGCAGCAACTATGAAATATAATCACTACCAAATTTCAATGGGCGGAGTCCTATAAGCTGTACTCACCCCAAAAAGTACTTAAAAACCTAAAAATATGTAAAATATCGATAAGATTACAAAGTCATTCGTCGAAAAGACCGATAAGAGGTACCATTGATAACGCTAGGGCGGGGCTAAACGCTCTAAGCTTACTTATCGTCGCTTAATTAATATTTTTATTACACATTTATTTTATGAATAATTAAATTTTGGTCCAAACCTTATCTTATACTGGCTAAGTGATTAATAAGGTTAATGTGACCTTTTCATAAGGAAAAAAATAGGGTAATTTTTATATGGAAATATAGTAATTAATTAAGGTGTATTTGTGGGTGAAAATGTGGCACGTATCGAGTGTTTTGTTGGCGGTGTTTTCGTATAGTTGCCGCATTATTAAATTTTGTTTTTTTAAATATTTTATAGTTGTGAACAAGGCCGAGGTTTTTTGGTAGCTAAATTCTTTTAATGAGTGATTTTATTGTAGTTTTCAGAGGTTATATTATAAGCCGATTTTCGTTACGTATTTCGTGTGTTTCTATAATTATTATTTGGTTAGGTTTAATTGTGACCTGTCCCATATATTTAATAGTTTCTTCTTGTCACAGCTCCCTGCATTCGGGCGATAAATCTTGATCTACCCCCTTATTTTCATTTTCTACATATTAGACCGTTTACATACTACGCTGACCGTATCCACAGATGTATTGTGTTAACCGACTTTGAAGGAAAGCGAAGTTGTGTTTTGTGAATCAATGTATTCCACGTCGACTACAATTTAAAGCCGTCGTCCCGATTGAAATTATTTGGGCATTCCTTTATTTCAACCGCTTCACGCACAAGTCTTGTATGGTAGTGGCGATCAGTAGAGAGAATTTGCGGTCAGTGGAATTCTATCCAGTGATTAAGAACCAGCCTATGCTCTTGCTAAAAATTTCCAAATTGCGGGTCATCAAAATTCACACAAACCTGATGGAAGCCTAAGTAACTCTCGATGCTGTGTGTCGCGAAGAACACCTCGCCTTCACATGTTAAAATCATCAGGAAACCGTTGAGTGCCTGCAATGAAAAATTATCATTAGTACATTGAAAATAAGGAAGGAAATGGTTCCTCCATCATAAATATAGGGTACACGCACGTAAAAGGGATATCAAAATTCTAAAATAGCGATATAATTAAGAAAGTGAGGTTTATTTTTAGATTAAAAAAAGAAGACAAATTCGATAATATCGATAACATTCATTTAGAATTGAGCTTTATTGTAAGGTTTAAACAAAGGCAAACACAAAATCCTATTCTGATTGCTTTCATAAAACTAGAGAAGAATCGTATTATTTAATTAGAATTAAAATTTATAGGTAAGGAAATTGATATTAACAATTTAAATAACGAAACACATAACAAACCTTAACCACTACCAAAATAACAAAAATACTACAACAAGAATAAAACAGAAGTTACCGGAAAACGATTCGAAGTTTTCGAAATGAAAATACGCAAAAATAAAAACAAAAGTTTTCGCTCAGAATTTTATTCTGGGCCGATGTGGGGACCGAAATTATTCTGTCTACTACAATAAAGACTTGCCAAGTTTTTCGACAGGTTTCGTAGCTATTTCCTTGGCCAGACACACGGTTGAGTAACGAGCCAAGTTGGACGAAGAAATGTGGGGTGCGCGTTCACATTGACCACCCGTATTTACATTTAAATTTATATTGAATGACCTTATTTACACGAAATGGCTAAAGTTAATATGGAAAATGTTTAAGTCGTATTAAGTATGTTGTGTGGTTGTGAGCGGACTTATTCTTAATGAGATATTACATATATATACGATTTTCTTTTTGTTCAATGTATAGGGGATGTATTTTCGTTTAATTCTGTAACAGTAACATTTTTTTTAAAAGAAGTCTACGTTTTTTCTCTTTATGTCATAAGATCGGCAAACGTGCAGACGGATTACTTTATGGTAAGTTAGGGCGTCCGCTTCTCATGCATGAGTGTTTGAAACGTGGCTAGTACCATTGTGACTGTTGCGAGTTAAAATTATGTACTGTCCATAGTTCTTTAGGCATCACTGACATACGGTGAAGAAAAAATCGTGACAAAACCTGGACTTATAACTTCTAATTATAAGTTTGAATTCGCCATTCCGCCTTGAGGAAGCGTGGTGATTAATGCTTTAACTTTCGTCGGGTGAGTAGTCTTTTGTTCAGCAGTGGGCACTGATTATAGGCTGGCGATGATGATGAACTAATAGATACCTACTGTCTCTCTTCTGAGCAAATCTTTTGCTGTTTTGTCTACATACAAAAAAAATATATTTATTGGATACTACAGTGAATCTCGTATCGTGAACGACAATGGAAACATCACAGTAACTAGAGGACGTAGAATAAGCACATAATACAGATTATTTATAGCGTCGATACTTCCCATTGATTTATTTTGTAACTGACTAACTATTCATAATTTATTACTATGTAATGTCGTCTTTATTGGCCATACTTGTACTGTACTACAGTTTTAGCTTGTAAATATATATTTTGTTGTGGTAACCCTACTGATTATATTACTTGTGCTTTAAGCTAGTTCTTAGACGGTTAAAATTATGCTTTTGAGTAAATTTTACGTTTTGTGTTTAGAGTTTTTTTTATTTTATGTATTTGAATTATTATTTTGCGAACTTTATTCTTTTTTTTTCAATCTTTATTTAAAAGAGCTTATTTGCAATTTAGATTATCTGTATTAGTTATATATCAACTTATACCAAAGTTTCAGTGTTTGACTAAAAAATGCAGCTAGAATTTTATTTAAGTATACTTACTCAAATTTAACCCACAATTTCTTCACTTATTTATAGAAACCTTAAGAAATAAAGCTAACAATATCCTATAAACAATATTATACCCGTATTATAGTGAGGTATAAATCGAAAAAGTTAATAAAAATGATAAACTTTAGCTGCGTTATTTCCAACCTTGGCGCTGAAGGTTGAAAGTTAAAGCAGTATAGTAATAGTAAACGTTTCCACGAGCCCCGAGTAAATATTTTTTTGTTTATCATAGATATTATAGTGACATTTTTATATTTATCTTTTTATAGATAGCTTTTAGAATACGGTAGTTTCCAACTAGTCAAATTCAATACTTTTATTCAATTGTCAAAAACGATACTTTTCTATGAAATTTGTATGAAACGCTGAGTTATGACGTCATAGTATTTTTGCGTCAAATAGCTTACGTATTTCTTAATAATTAACTAAAAAATATCTAAAACTTAGTGTATCGATAGATCGATGAATAAAAGTATAGTTATTTAACAATATTTTATTGAATTGAGAAGTCGAATTAATTTATTTTCGACCTAGGAAATTGTTTTCCTTTTTTCAATTAAATAATCTTTCCCTATTTATCTATTAGTATTACTATTTAAACTTCGTAATGTATTCGAGTGTTTCTATTTCCTTCTATGGATGTATGTTTGTTACTATTTCACGGAAAAATTACTGATTGGACTTTGAACAAACTTGGTACCTACAGAGATAAAATTTAGTCTAGAATAATATAGGGTTATTTTTCATTAAAGTAATGTTGATACAGCCACTAGCATAAGCTTGTTTTACATAATATTGGCATTGGCATATTGTAAGGCATTTCTAAACAGACGTTTACTTAGAAGCCACTCTTGAACACAAAATTTCAAAGAAAAACGTAAATGGAAAATGGTAACTTACTTACTAACTAAGAACTTTACGAGAAAATGTCTATTAGTTTCGAGTAATACCGGGACTCATGTCAACAGGTCGTAATGTTGCATGAATAAGCTGTATATTTCAATCATTGTAATTTGATGTACGATTATTATTAGAAGTATGGGAGAGCCATGCTTTGGCACTATCGGGCCGACTCGACCGGAGTGATGCCACGGTCTCATAGAAAACCGACGTGAAACAACACTTACGTTGTGTTTCACCGCAGGTTACCGGAGGCCCAATCCTTCCCCCTATCCTCAATCCTCAAATCCTCTCTCCTTGAATCCCTAATAACACACAAGAGTTCGGCAACGCACTTGTAGTAACTCCCTTAGTATTGCGAGTGTCCATGGGCGGCCCTGATTGCTTACCATCAAGTAATCTGTCGTTTTGCCGATCTATGAAAATATGTAATAATAATAACAATACTTACCTGTAGAAACATCTCTCCATCTGGCATGACGTGGTCATAGGGTGAATGTTCTCTTCTGTGACCATGGATGTCGTCTTTTTCTTTGTGCATAACCACTGTAACAATACAAAAACAATTGGTAAATAAGTGAAAGAATTAACTTTTATACCATATAGGTAGAATCTTTCTAACTTTAAAGCGTCGGAGTCAAATAGAATGTACTAGTTTTTTATTACATACTAGCTACTCTCGCGCGTTTTCACCCGCTGCTCGGCTCCATTTAGTCGTAGCGTGATGTTTTATAGCTTATAGCACTCAGGAACATTGTAGCTATCTATCAGTGAAATAATTTTGGAAATCTGAGCAGAGGTTCCAAAGATTACCACCCCCTACATACAAACTTACAAATTTTACCTCTTTATAATATTAGGAGGTATAGATAAATTCATTGTTTCAATTACCAGTCGAACTATGAGTGAGTTTCGTTTCACGTTTTAAAACGTAGATTTGTTTGGACAAGATTAAACAAAAAATTCTCTATTAACTATACAAAAAATAAAGGACCTCTTTTTGTGGAAAAGAGGGAGAAAGTCATTTAATGACTTCTACTACTGTTAAAATGTATTATTAGAGAGAGTGTCAAGCTCTTAACTGACTAAAATCTAATACCCTGGTCTTCTCCTCAAAAGATGATCTCCGACCACCGTAAGCGCGGGTCTGCGGACGGCGAGTAAGGGTAGCTCGCCGACGGACCAGAACCAGACCCGAGCGTCATCGCGTAGCGTTCCGCGCGCGCCTCAAAGAGCCAATGGAACACAGACGGGGCCCTATAGGGCTGATGTTCAGCCGGGGTTGCGGGTCAAGCGCAATGAGTCACCGCGGCCTCGGCCCAGAGCAGGTGAAGGAACGGGGGGATTTTTAGTCAGTAAGAGTCTGACACTCTGTCACGCCTAACCCTGGACGGGAGAAGACATTTGATGATTTTACCCTGGTAACAAAATGGTCTCCTTCTCCTAAATTTGAGGATAAGAATGTTTCTTATTGTGATTTTGGTGTCTAGAGGCAATTAGGAAGAGCTGGGGAGTGATACAGGTCACTTTTCTAAGCTAAACTAGTCCTAGTACCTCCCAACACTAAGTCTAGTCTAGTAATTCAGACAAGTTTCTTACGATTTAATTCACCGTCCTAGATGTTATCTTGTGTTGTAGCCGTGCAGGTGTGAAGCAAAGTCCCAACTAATGTCTCACATCGTAATTAAAAAGATATAATTATAATTTTTTAATTACACATCTATGCGATGGGACGTTTGCAAAATAACAACATTTTCTTAAACAAGAATTTCAATGCAATTAACACTTTAAAGGTGCGAGTAGAGATAACGTTTTATTTATAATTATTTTTATTGATAATTAGTTATTATTTTATATCTAATATTTTATGGTATTTGTTTGAGGATAAGCCTGTATTAATTAAAGGTGCTTTGTATAAAATATTTACACTGCAGAAGTTCATATAAAAACTCCAGGCTGGACACCTAGTTAACGATAAAGTATTTTTGTAAGGGGGAAATCATCGACTGACGTCTCACTCACACTCAGTGTCGAGTGTCAAACTCTTACTGACTAAAAACTACTCCGTTTTTCTCTACTCCGTGTCGAGGTCGTGCTTCATTATTGCGCTATCCCCGGATATGTTTACGCTAAGCTAAGAAAACGATAGTTTTCTATGAAATTTGTATGAAAAACTGAGTTATGACGTCATAGTATTTTTGTGTCAAATAGCCTTCTACTTCTTCTTCTTAATAATTAGCTACCAAATATCCAAAACTTAGTGTATCTATCGATCGATGAATAAAGGTATAAGTATTTTCCAATATTTTATTGTATTGAAACGTCGAATTAATTTATTTTTGACCTAGAAAATTACCCAATTAACCAAATCTAGTTCAAACTATGTAAAAATCATATCATAGAATAATTCAAAACATTATGTAGGTACATTTCTATATAACATAACTTATTATTTATACCTACAGCAGAGATGAGAGGGCGTGGTTTGTGTGACAAATCAGATTCATGGAGCAAAGGGGATGCTGGGGTTATGAGGGTGGCTTTATCATCATTTTGCTATGGAAAAATATGCTTTAATACATCTTATGTATAAGGTCTTATATGGTTTGTATAAAATAATGATAAACATACAGTAGGTAATCAGAAAATTGTTAAAATCATTCGAACTGGATGTGAATTCGTAGACATGTTCCAGTGAATTGATATTACAAGTATAGAACAGAGTTCTCAGTGAGAGTTTGCTTTACGTTATTACAATCTACTAGTTTATGACGTGGAGCTTTCTGATTGGCCAGCTCCAAGTTATTTAACCAATCAGAACGCTAAGCGCAGAATTCAAAATAACTCGCACTGAGGACTCTGTGCGTGGACGCTCAATTGACATAGGTAATGCAAGTAGTGAGCCCTGTCTCATAAAATTATGCATATTAAAATTCAAATTATTGTTCTTTCATTTTTCCCTATCGAACGTTTTCACATCAAAAACAAATGATACTAATATTCAAAATGAAAAAAATCATTCACTTTATAATTATGTATTTAGACATACAAATAAAGCTATAATATAAAGCCATGTTCCTCAATTAAGTGTGGGAGAGCCATGCTTCGGCACGAATGGGTCGGCTCGACCGGCGTGAAACAACCCAATGAGGCCAAATCCTCCCCCAATCACTAAGTCTCGAAATCCCTAATCTCCAAAAGGTCAGCAACTGATTCGTAACTCCCCTGTTGTTACCAATGGGCCTCCATGGGTGACGCTAATTGCTTACCATCAGGTAATCCGCCAAAAAATCAATAACTATCGCTTCAAAAACAAATGATACTAATATTCAAAATGAAAAAATTAAATCACCTTATAATTATTCAGACATACAAATATAGCTATAACCATGTTCCACATTATTATCACACCTGCGCACGATTGCATTATTTAATCGATAACAAGAATCGATTACATACATCGATAGTCGATCAAATGTCATAACGATTCGTAATTATAATATGGGTTATGTAGGCGAGGACGTGATCAATTTTTGAAAAAGAAATATCTAAGTTTATTAGTACTTTTTTAAAGGGTTAGGCAGGGTTGTGTTTAGAATGATTTTATACGTTTTAGTAAATATATACCTATGGGTATTTTTATTATAACTTTCGTGAGACATTCTGAATTATTTATTGTTTTCGGCTTACTCACTCAGTCGCCGAGTCGCGTGTCGCGGAATGCTGCTCATGAATATGGGCCTCTAGCATGGCTTGAAACTAGTCGAGTAACTCGTCAAATTATATATGGGTAGTGTACATATGTAGTATTGTAATAGAGCTTATGTTATTGAGACATTTTATTTGGAGAGGTGAAAATCATCAATTTATTTATTTATTTATATTATGTACTTTATTGCCCACATACACCAAGTAACAATACATTGGAAACTATGACCGAATGTTGTGATTACAATGTCAATGCCATCAAATGCCTTTAAAACATATAACTTCGGGGGTATTAACGGGAAAAGTATTTATTGAAATATCTTGGCAGACTTGACGTTTGGCGTAATTATATGTTGCAAATATAAAACGCGAAACTCCATCGATACTCTAAAAAAAGTTTTTACTTAGAATAGAACTTAATCTTTGTTTTTTTTTAAGTGACAATCGTTTCGGTAAACATTTTAAAATTCTTGATAATCTGCAAAATATCGTAGTGAGGTATAAAAATATTTTTTACTTTATTTAATTAATATAACAACATCACATCACCTGTAACTATACCACCACTACCACCAAAGTAACTGTGTTGGTATTGATTGATTTCTCGAACGCCTTCAATATGGTCAGTCACGATATCCTTTTAGAAATCCTGTCTTATCTTGCGATCTCCGACAAGTCACTGGAATGGTTTTCTTCATATCTTCAGGAGCGTCAGCAGTCGGTCCAGTGCGATGACAATTTGTCTAGCTGGTGTGACTTGAAGGCTGGCGTTCCCCAGGGCGGCATTCTTTCACCACTTCTTTTCTCTATCTTTATTAATTTCATCACTTTGGAACTTCAGTGTGCGTACCATCTGTATGCTGATGACTTGCAGCTGTATTGTCAGGCTGCGGTGGATGATCTGCCCGTTGCTGTCTGCAAACTAAATAGAGACTTAGCGGCTATCCAAAACTGGTCAGACAGGTTCGGTATAGCCGTGAACCCTAATAAATGCCAGGCCTCAATAATAGGTAGTTCTCGGAATTTGAGATTGGTTGATGGTACAAACCTACATCCTCTCTTATATAATGACGTGACTATCCCATTCAGTCAAGAAGTAAAGGACCTTGGGCTGCTTATTGATAGCACATTGAGCTGGAGACCCCAAGTCACCAGTGTTTGCCGGAAGGTGACCGGCTCGTTGAGGGCTATGTATCGCCTGAGGAACTTTCTTCCGTCATCCGCGAAGACGCAGCTGGTGCAGGCCTTGATTTTCCCCATTATTGATTACGCTGATGTCTGTTACTATGACCTGAATGCAGATCTGCTCAATAAACTTGACCGACTTCTAAATAACTGCATTCGATTCATTTTCAATCTACCCAAATATGATCATGTTTCTGCACGTAGGATGCAACTTAAGTGGCTGCCAATACGTTTGCGCAGACAACAGAGGGCACTTTCAACTTTATTCTCTTACCTTGATTCTCCTTCTTCGCCTAGCTACCTCGCCCCTTACTTTCAATATACTTGCGCAAACCATTCAAAATTTCTTCGGTCTTCCCACAATCGACACCTTCAGTGTCTCACCCATCGCACTAACTTCTTCCATTCTTCTTTCTTCATCCAAGCTGTTCTTCTATGGAATGCACTTCCGAAGGAAATCAGAATGGCCACAAATCGCTACTCGTTCAAGTTAAAAGTCCACGAGCATTTATTTAAGGATTGGCAGACACAAAACAGACAGTAACTAGTCTCGACATGGTTTTTCCCATCTAGATAATATTATGTATGTATGTATATATGTATATATGTATATATGTATATCTGTATATTATAGTATGTATGTTTCAA